TTCTAACCGGTTCGGTAGATTTGACGAACCGGTTCTACCGAATAGGTGCGAACTGGTAGGAACCCACCTCTGCCAAGACCCCTCTCACATATATTACTGTTGAGCCAGGTACCTCTATTCTATTCCATTTTACTTCATTTTACTCCACTCCACTCCATTACTCTATTCTGTTCTATTCTATTCTATTCTATTTATTCTATTCTATTCCATTTTACTTCATTTTACTCCACTCCACTCCATTACTCTATTCTGTTCTATTCTATTCTATTCTATTTATTCTATTCTATTCCATTTCACTCCACTCCACTCCACTCCACTCCACTCCTGTGGTGGGTTCCTGATCCCGTTCCAACCGGTACGGTTGGAATGGGCCCAGCATTGTCCACATGGATGCGCGCAGCACGTGCATGCGTCTTAGTGCCTCTGCGAGCCCCTGCGATGGTATCCGGTGCTCCGGGCAGGCTCTGGCATGCCCATACCGGGGCGTACCGCTTGCAACCCACCATTGCTACACTCCACTCCACTTTATTTCTATTTCTATTCCATTTCTATTTCTATTTCTATTATTATTTCTATTTCTATTTTATTCTATACCTGTGCATTTGGTTTTTCTTGTCTAAGTGCAAAAACCTTATTTTCTCACCACTGAATTGCATTTTGTTGAACAGGGCCCAGTGTTCAAGTCTTGTCAAGATCTTTCTGGATTTTGAAGCTATCTTGAGGCTATTTCCCCCATATTTGATGAGTTTCCCTTTTATGCCCTCATCTAAATCACTCGTGGAGATGTTGAAGAGTACTAGGCCTAAGAAAGAATCCTGGGAGTCTGTTTGTTTATTTTATCTGTTTATTTGTGCAGTTTGCTGATCTTGTTTTGTTTGTTTTATCTGTTTGTTTATGCAGATTGCCTGAGATTTATGTATTTATATATAAAATTTATTAGTTGCCTATTTTACCAGAGGATAACTCTGGGTGGCTTTAAATCATAAAAGATAAACACGTACACGCAAAGATATATACTAAAAACATAAATAAAGTAAATAAATTAAGATGCTAGTGAAATTAAAATGTGTCTATTGCTGTGTGTCTCAATGTTGGGCACTTTAAGAGGTAAAGACTTCAACTCCCAAAATCCTTCAGGCAGAACTCTGAGGAATTCTGGGAGATGAAGTCCACACATCTTTAAGTGCCCAAGGTTGACAAATACCGTTTAACAGTTGTCAAGAACTCTTGGTTAGGCAAACTATTACTGGTGGTGGACCTGGGGAATGCTGGGAATTGAAGTCCATACATCTTGAAAGTTCTGAGATTGAGAAAAAGTACAGCTGTGTGAAAAAGTCCTGCACGCTTTACAGTTTATGACATTTTTTTGGATAGGCCATTGATTTTATGATATTTTATGCTAACTGCTA